TATTTAATATTAATTGTCTAATATATAGGCACCCAAAAGATTATAACTTCCAATGTATTATAATATATGATTATAAGAAGGTAACAAAAAATTCCATAGCTATAGTTTGTATTTCAGTAGGTAGGTGTAGCAATTACCATTACTTGTTTAACTTGTCTAATATCATATAATTTTCAGGCTCTAAATTTAAGATCATACTTACAGCCAAATGTTGCCACATCGTGTATCTACTGTTAAGAAGATATTAAAATTTGATATAAATTTTATTATGGGCTTACATTTTTTTCCCTTTAAAATGTTTAACTTATTTACATTGATTTTAAATGAGTCGCGGATAAAATACCAAAAGAAAAATACCGAAAACCATCCTTTTCGATCAAATGACGATATTTCAAAATTTGTCTTATCAAATTTCACTCCGAATCGCTTTTCGTTATCAATGGTTTATCGTTGCGTACAAATTTAAATTAAATAACTTTATGTGTTATATCTTCTCAAAATCCCAACTTACCGCCTATAACAGTGGCTGCACCCGTCCGCAGTATCATCTCTTTTTTTAAAAATGTGTTAATTTCATTTGAGAAAATAAATCTGTCGGCGAAAAGGATGGTTTCGGTATTTTGTCCGCGACTCATTTAAAACCGATGTAGATAAGTTAAAAATTTTAAAGGGAAAAAAAAGTAAGCCCATCATAAAATATATATCAAATTTTATTTTATTTTGAACAGTAGATACATGATGTGGCAGTATTTGGCTGTAAGTATGACCTTAAATGTAGAGCCTGAAAATTATATAATATTATACAAGTTAAGCAAGTACTGTAATGATATTATAAATGCATGATTGTAGACTATATTACATTTTACGGCAATGCAGTACCTTCCAAATCCATTACTTTGATGTTGATAACAGAGAATTGTATGCATGTTTCCAGTGTTGTGTTTCATCTAGATAAACTATCTAGATAGGTATATTTTTATCTTTCATCTTTATCCAGATAAATGGGAATAATGTTATCTGAGATAAATAAATCATTTAGATAAAATTTAATATTTTAATATTTATATTACAAAATATTAAATTTATATTTGTGTATTGTTATTATTTATTACATTGTAAACCAGGCGCGGCCGCTCCCCGCCCCCTCCCCCCTTAAACGTATCAAAATGTATTATTTAGTTCGTGTTATACTACGTTAATATATTGTTATATTATTATTCAGTCGCGAATTTAATCTCCGTCCTTTATTCGTACAACGTAAATGAATAAATTGCTGATAACAACATTATTATTGTGACCGACTCGGCGACGACGACCGTCGACTGCCGGCCGGCGCGCCCGCGGCCCGTGGGTTTTCGTCCTAAAAATGTCTTCCGTGTTCGTCTGAAATATATTTACACTGCTTAGCTTTGTCGCACGATTTAAACGTGTCAACTTTTGAATTTCATGTTGTATTCGAAATTAATCGAGTAAAGAAATCCTGCGCAGCGTGTGAAAATCGAAGTATCCATTGTAAAATAATAAGGAATTATCGCATTTAGCACTATTGCGTGTGTATGAAAACATAAAATATACTCGCGTTTACCATCAAGTATCTAAACGTGTATATCTATTTACAATCCGCCCCTCCCGTTGATGTAGGCTTTTGTGCGTCTGGCTTTCTTCATTTTCGTATAACACAAACATATATATAAATAATTCCTAGCAATGTATAGTCTTGTACACGAACCATTATTTTTATAATAAATTACTAGCAGTCCTGGGCCCGGCGTTTCCCGTGACAATTTTTCTTTTTCTTTCTGCCCGTATTTCCGTATTGCTCTCTGCCCGTATCGGCAAATCGAACGAAAATAATAATATATATGTATAAAGACAATTTTAAGATTCCGATCAATTTTTTTCCTTAAGGTTTTTGACGCCATATTTAACATTTTAAATTGCATTGTGCTTACTTAAGTTAAAAAAAAAAACAATAAACATTTTATTTTAGAAATAAATGAATTATAGACTATTTGGCTTATTGAGTAACATAAAATATAGTTATTTTGAAATTTAGACGTGTAATATATCTGGTAAACTTTATGCACTTAGATTTTTGATCGATACCTAAACTATTAAACAACTATGTTTTTTTTTTATCTAGATAATTAAATTCTGATGTATCTTTTATCTTCATCCAACACTGCATGTTTTTATGTTTGGCTCATTTATTAAGGGCAAAATAGAAATAACTTTTTTAATAATATTATATGAACATTTTATTGAAATTTGAATTAGATAGTATTGTTGAGCACCAAATTCGGATGGATCCGAATCCGATTTAAAACGTTACAATCCATTTAATCTGGACTGTAATTTTAAATCCTGGTTATAAGTGTTTAAAAACAATTTTTTTTTCTTATCTAAATCTAAATCTATTTCTAAAATTCTTCAATCATCCAAAAATATGTGTTACTTTAAGTTACTACTTAAGTTCCTCTAGATTATTATAAGTTAAGAAATTAAGAAAAATTCTAAAAACCCGGCATATTTGTTGTTAGGGTTCATAGGTATCATTTTTAGTCGATTGTCGATAAATCTGAGATCTTACATTTGTATTGTATGTATATATATAAAATAAAAAAAATTTATGTATAAAAATTAAAAATTAAATAAATAAATGAATGAAAATGTCACCTGAAGTATTATAACTGTATTATACAATCAGTTTCAAATTAAAAATTCATCGCAAGTTATTTCAGTCAAAATGTAAAACGCGAATGAATATAAAAAATGGAATGAAGGAATACATTCAATCATTTATATATTTATTTACTTTATTATTTTATTATTTTTTAAATGTTTAATATTTGTTGAATATCTTGAATAATGAATGTGAGCATACCTATTAATTTAACGAAACATAGGGCAAAAGTGGTAAAATGTTCCTATAAATGATATACTTATTGTAGATTATTAATTAACAAATGAAAAAAAAACTTGTATACAAGATTAGTGAGCAATTTTAATCTATTGTTAATTATTGCCTAGTTCTTTTTAGTCAGGGACAAATATGGCCCCAGTTACACTACTACTAGCCCATAGTATCGTGAAACGTTTTACATTAGGTACAAAATTCATTCAAATTCTGAAATTTAGAAGGCATATAAACATGTAAGTGCCACATACCTATAGTACTAAGTGGTGTCCATAACCTAACTTACAAGTTTAAAGTAAAAACCTTTTTTTTTCTTTTTAATCAATATTTTATTCAATTATTTTTTTTCAAATCCCCACAAATTATTTATATCTAAATTAAATTTCTCTAGAATTCATTCTTGCTAATAATTATTATAAAAATGATTTTGGCTCAGCCTGCAAATCTTGGATTTGATTAAAATACAAATCAAGCATATAAATCAATGTAGTGTTAACAATATATTGGTATTTATTACTTTTAATCATAAAAAATCAAGTACATAAATAACTTTATTATATATGCTTTTAACATCATTAAATAAATTATTAACATATACCAACATATATGAAGATCATAACAAGATCGTGAGTTAAGTATAGTGTATTTTAATGTGTTAAATCACACCAAATCATTATAGGATCTAAATTGACAGTATTAGGCACATTACTCTTAAAAGTAATACAGTCACCTCATCCTTTTCAAAATTTAAAGACATTACATTTTCATTGCGTACAGTTAGTAAATTATTAAGTAATTTTACGTCTGAAACTTAAAAGTAATTTTGTTGTCACCATCTTCCAGGAAATCAATTTTAACACATTAACGGACATTATTGCTATAGCAGTAATATGTAAAATGTATTATTACGTCAATACTGCTGAAGCAGTAATCCTTTCAATGGTATCAAACGATAGAATACATTGAACTGCCACATTACGGCAGTCCACACCAACACTTTACACAAATTATTTTGGATGTAAGTATAGCACTACTAATATAACAATAAAAATTATATTACAAGTGTCCATCAATGTATTAAGGTGCCTAATGGAACTAACCTTTATTTCATTAATTAAAATGACAAAATACATAGTAAGTTTTTAACGGTTTTAAGGTAAAATATATTGCATCAAATTGTCATTAAAACCGGAATAGAGGTTCTAAGCCTCTATTTTTAAGTAACACACTCAAATTGTCAAAATAACTGTCAACAAGGAACAATATATCATATGTGTATATGTGTGTGTATACACAAGATAATTCACTAGTGTGCTCACCCCATTTTTTCAGTTAAATTTTGCAAATTCTGATTTTTGGAATTTTTAAGTGCAGTTTTAAAGCAAATCCTTCTGAATGCTTAGATTTTTCACAAAATTTAAGGAGTATTCTGTGTTGATGCTAATTTAGTTTTTCAAATCAGAATCTATATTAAAAGTTCTGTAAATAGATGGAGTACTACTTAAAATAAATTTTGGTGTCAATATTTTTTATGTCTATCAACAAGATTTTCAATATAGGTTTTAATTTGAAAAACCAAAGACGGATAGTCCTCAAATGTAATGAAAAATCTAGATATTCAATAATATGGGCTTTAACTACACTAAAACATTTCAAAAATCAGAATTTGAATACATATGTAACTGAAAAATAGGATGAGCATGCTTAATGAATCATTCTGTATACATGTATGCATGTATATATTCAATTTTAATGTATAATAAATAATATTATCAATACAAAAATGTTACACCGACATACTTTTACAATAATAATATTTACATTTATAATATATTATAACACATTTATGTCATAAGCTTAATTTGTATTGCTACAAAATAAAAATTGGAGTTTTCACCTTTTTTAGTCAATTTATTAATAATTTAAATAATTTATGATAAATCATTAAAACGACAGTACTTTTATAGTATACCAAGACTTATTGTGTTGGCTAATATATTTAAATATTATATTAAAAAAGGAATTTTTTTTTTTAAAAACAACAACAAAAAATCATAAATAATAATGATAATTAAAAAAACATTAAATACTAAATAGTTTTAAGTTTTCTGAAAAATTAATAAACATATTAATGTACAATAAACACATTTATGTAACTGAAATAGATGATACATGGAAACAGTCTTAGTCAAGAGTTTATAATTTTCGTATACATCCCAGACTTAAGAAGTGTGTAAACTTCAAGCCATCCATGGAACCTGGGCGAGCAGTACTCATGATGGGAAATGCAAACTGACCATTTTGTTGTTCCATTTGGGCAAGTGGCATGTAATTAGTGATACCCATTGCGTTCATCCTGGCAATTGAACCATTTTTACTTATGTCCATAATAGGAATAACAAATTGACTGTTTGTGTTTACATCAGTTTTATGAAATGATTGCTTATGACGATATAATAATTCACCACTTGGAAAACTCAATGAACATAAGTTGCATCTAAAAAAATATTTAAAAAAAAAAACTATAAATGTTCATGAAGTATGTAAGTATTTATCTTGGAAATGTTTTTCACTAAGTAAATGTGGTTTAATTATAAATAAATATTGTAATATGTTAATGGGTTAACACTCAATTCAAATGTAGTTAATCATTAACTTAATATTTGAAATAGTTTAAAGTAAATTAAATAACAAAAAATGTCCTCAAAATTTATCATTAATTATGTCATTTTAGTTTGAAAAAAAACTTAAATTTCTGCTCATAATAAAAAAAAATGCAATAAATGACAACAAGAAAAGTACTTTAGAGAGGTCATTTTTTTGATTTTCTCGAGTTTTCTCATCAAATGTGAAAAACCATGAAAAAAAAAAATATTTTTGTAAAACCATAAGCCTTTTTTGCTCCACTCAGAATCTAAAATAATGATGATAATGATATTAATAATAATAATGAACACTTTAAAAATCAAAATCATAATGAGCATTTTAATAAAAAGCATAATAGGTAATAATAAATAAAATCACTTAAATAATAAAATAACAATAATCAAATCAGTATCATAATAATCATTAATACTTTTAATAATATAAATTGGCATACTTATTACAACCATCAATAATAATCATCAACAAATACCGTTATTAAGCTTATGATTATTGTTAGTTATTTTTAAAATACTGATTATGATATTTGTTAATGATTATTATTATTAAAAGCATATGCTTCTTATTAAAATGCAGATAATATTTTTAAAGTGCTCATTATTATTATTATTAATATTATTATGCTTATTTTTATTATCTTTATTAAAATTATTATTAAGATTATTGAATGTTATTAAGTGTGCTGATTATTATTATTTTAGATTCCGAGTGTAACGAACAATTAATTGATTTTACAAAGATGATTATTTTTTTTTATGTGAACACTTTCTATCAAAAAGCGTATTTCAATGTATATGATGTAGACCCTTTTTCTGAAAGGAAATTTTGCTGGGGTGGTACTTTTAGGGAGGTAATTTTTTAATTTTTTCAGGAATTTTCTCAACAAATGTGAAAAACCAAAGCACAAAAAAAAAAAAAAAAAAAGGAAGAAAACAAGAAATGGATGGATATTAGTCGACAAAAATATTACAGCCTTTTTTTTACGTGAACAACTTTTCTACCACCAATTTTGCTCAAATTTACAATGATAGCACTTTTTCAAAAAGGAAATCTGACTAGGAAGGTACTTTAATGAGGCCATTTTTTGATTTTTCCTAGCAAAGTGAAAAACCTGGAAAAAACATGAGAAAACCAGGAAAATCGGTACATTAAACAAATATTTTTAAAGAAAATATATAATGCCTATTTAATTATTTTACCATAATATGACATATATATGATAAAGCATCACTATTAACCGAACTCTGCTCAGAATCGCATTTTCGTTAGCAATGGTTTATCGTTGCTTACAGGGATACATTAAATTACGTATAACAACATTGGCTGTACCCGACTCCATTATCCTAGGACAGCTTATTTAAAAATAAAATTTAAACATTTTTTTCAGTCTAAAATTACTCATGCACAAAATTAGAAGTATCAATTTTAATTTTCTATTCTCATTGTTAAACATAATTATGAATAAAATAAAGGACTTCAGATTTATTTACAATGACGATGGATGACTAATGAGGGAATATTTTTAATTAAATAAACATATCTTAATGGCAGAATATTATTATAAAATAATTTTTGTTAAATCAATGTTATTATAATAATTATTTTTATATTTTGATAATTAGTACAAATTATGACTTGGTTGTATACCTGTAGTATATTATAAAAAAAAACCTAATTGTGAATAATTACTACTCACTTGTACGAAAGTTGCACGGTTTTATGTGCAGCAGATACATGTTCATACAATGTTTCAACACTTAAATATGTTTTTGAACATATTTCACAAGGCCAAAACTTTTTGGGTCTACTATCTGGACCAGTCAAATCAACAGTGTCAACCGTCTACAAAATAAACATAAATTAATGTAAATTTTTAACTATTAACATAGCTTCTGTTATATCCATTAATTAAATAAATAAAATATTGTATATCTGACATTTTTACAATTATTAAAAATATATAAAAGTATTCTAATATTACAGTTTAGTATTATTGATATTTTTTTTCTTTATTTCTAATTAAATTAATAAGTAATTACATTGTTTATATTGTATGTTATTGTAAATTAATGTAAATTCATAAATAAATTTATTAAATACTGGTCTTGATTTTGTAATTATATAAGTAATATTTATTTAATGAAAAATAAATAAAAATGCAATAATAATAGTAGTACAGTAGTTCCCAACCTATAGGCCGTGAACAATGGTTGAGGGTATAAGCTAAAAATTGGTAAATTGTTTATTATTTATATTATTCTAATATATAAGTCTATATTTTAATAAAGATTTAGTAATAATCCTACCATCATCTATATCCTATAATTTTATTGATTGTCATTTCCTTATCTAATATTTTAGAATATTTTTGTTTTTTTTTTATATTATTTTATATCATGATCACGGCACAATCAACTTAATACCAATATTAACTTTCTTGTGGGAGAAAAACTATGTCAAAAATCACATTGTTTTAACTTAACTTTAACCACTTGTTTATAAGTTGAATACAATAACAAGCTTTTTTGTTAATACAAAAAAAAAAATGTATGTTATGTTTTCTTAATTACTGACCTATGAGCAGTACGCACATTACAATATTATATATATTGGTCATACGTATATAGGTGTTTTTATTTTTACCTGTATATTAGTATAGTGGACATTTAAGTTTTTTTAAAAAATTGGAGGTCCGCAAAACTAAAAAAGTTGGGAAGGCCTTTTTACTGTTGCAACCCCCATAAATGAATATTCAATTTTTTGGCAACCCTAAAATATTAATTTATATACAACAATCCAATAGTTTAATAATTTTGGTAACCCTAAATAATTAGTTAACAACCACCAGGAGTTAAGCCCCCTAGGTTGAGAATTACTGATTAACTAATAAACTTAGAAAATAATACATTAGAGAACACATATAATTCTGATCCCATTAATGAATTATAAACTAATTTTAAAATTTCATGTTAATGTATTAATAATAGAGCACCGCCATTCTAAAAATCTTAAATGAGTTAATACAATATACATACACTGAGTATTAAATGTAAATCAGTAAATATTTCATACAGAATGAATTAGTAATCAAGAGATCTTGAAAATAATTACCATTGTCTGCATTGTAAACATTGATTTGAATTGTATGAAATTATTCGTTTATAATAATATATTTAATAGATTACCTTATTAAATTTACTACTAGGTCTCTGTGATACATTATTAGGTGATTCATGAGGTTTCTTAATAGGTACCTTAGCAGGTGAAGTCGGTATTATTGAAACAGCAGAGTTCAAGCTTAGTCCAGCAGGAATACTAATATTGTTTACTGTATCCACCTGAAAATGAAAATAATTAATGATCAACAGGGTGATTTTTTTAACATTGAATACTCATTATTTTGCAAAAAAAAAAAATATAATGTTTTGATAATTTAAGAAACAAACAGATCTAAAATAAAATAACATCATTATTTTTGGGAGTGAAACGACTATCAACACTTGATTTTTAAATGGTAATCTTGTTTCATATAGTAGTATAGAGTATTAGTAGACATGTCATGCCGTCACACAAACGGTGCTCTCTTCGATAGTTCAATAAAAACTATCAAATACTTTTATTAGCTCGATAGTTAAAATTCAGTAATGTAATTATTCACTTGAATAACATTTAATAGTTTTAGTTAAACTATTAAATGATGCAATCAAACATTATTCAATTGTGCTCATCACTAAATGTGGTGCCAACATGGGCCAAATACTGATAGGTCCATTGATTGTTCAATTTCGCCATTGTCTATTGGCTCTTCATTTTCATCATTTCCAGTTATTTGATCAGTACATAAATAACATCCTCTACTAAATTTGTTTTTCTTGGAAAAAAGATTCATCGATTTCTACAATACACAACCTTGCCCAGACCTTTTTTTGGCACTTGGAAATGCTATCAACTACATCACTACATAAGTTATACCAATCAACTACAATATGGTTACTTTATCCTGTCCAGCCATCCATTAAATGCACCAGATTGAGGTAGACCCAATATCACAACAATACTATTATTTCTGTTAGAGCTAACTTTGTGTTGCATCTACCGTTTATATCAGTGTATGAAATAAACTGGTTACCTCTAAGTACTGATAGTTAAGTTTAATACAGTTTTTTTGTGCATTTTGAGTAACTTATTTTAAATGTTCCATCCAAAATGTCTTTTTTAACTTGATTTAATAGTTTCTTTAAAATTTCCACCACGGGTGACACCGTTTTTACTTCATTGCAAGCCAAATTAGTTTCTTCATTTTGAGGTAACAACTTTGCTTTTTAAATAATTTACACATGTTACTTCACCCTAAATAATGAAATAATGCTTCAATATAAATGGCCAATTTTCGAATTCATAATAAATAATAAAAATAATATTAGTATGTAATATTGACGATACATTGAAATGATGGCTAAAATACTAAATACAAATTATGAATTACCGTATATTTTATAATATATACATTTATCTTATCGTATTTGAATATGTTCATAACATATGTATAATTTTCTATATTTTCGATTTTGGAATTTTTTTTGTTTGATCACATACAGCTATCACAACCAAAATTGTAATTATCGTTAACCTGTTAACCAGATATTTCAATTTAAAATTTGAGTAAAGGGAAAAGTAACGGAACATCATCACTTAAAAGTGGAATGTCTAATCAATGAGTAGATAGAAATTAAAAATTTGAACACCAAAATGTATCTAAGTGAAGATTTTATCTATTGAAAGAGAATTTTTAATACAGGTAAATCAAAATTACATAGAGATTACACCCTAAAAATAAACGTGAAAAATAAATAAAAATAAAACATATTAGAATATATAATCCAAGTTATTACATAAATCAATTTTTTTTTTTAAAAAAAGTAAAAGTACTTCACTGAAAAATGAAAATGATGTATTCATGTAAGTATAAAAACAAAAGGACACATTTCGGACGATGAGTGGACTACTGTTTAAGTGGGAAGTTAGGAAGGTAGAGGGAAAATTTAATGTATATCAACACGCGATTAAGGATTTCAAACAAAAATGATTCTGAGTGAGGCTTGGTTATACATGTTATACAAAGCTATTTATATTACAATTTAAAAATAATAAATTTCGTAAATTTTCTAGTTTTTTTTTCTACTTTTTCCCCCTGTTAATTATTATCACCCGGAGAAAATAAAAAAATTACCTCTTCAAAGTATCGCCTTAGTCTAATTTCCTTTCAGAAAACATGTTACTTTTGAAAATTGGAGGAAATTCACATGATGGGTGAACCACTATTGTAGAAGAGAAGTTGGGAAGTAAGATATAATCTTTTTTAAATTAATCATTGCTAATAAAAAAAACGATTCTGAGCGGGGCTCATTTAGTAGTATTGCCTTTTCAACAATATATATATATATGTCATATTATAACGTGCTTGGGTTTCTAGATGTACCCAAAATGCATTTGTTTTTTCCCTGTTACCTAGCTGACAAGGTTTTTTAAAAACAATTTTCGAAATTAGCAATCTATGGGATGACGACCACCACTAGACTATAAAATTGACAATATTAAGTTTTTTACACAACACATAATATCAGAACTTCAAAAAGATATAATTTCGAAACCAAGTCAGTATGCTCAATTCTGACTTCACCACTGTCCTTAAATTGGCAATATACACTACATTCAACCTAACATTTTCTTGTTGACCACTAAGTACGACTTATTATGAATCTCCTGTTAAATTTTTAGGCATTTCTGTTTAGTCTAACAATTTTATCTACAAAGTACCCACAGAATAAAAATTACGTACAAAACTCATAAAATTAAAATGGCATGTCTATAAATAGCTCAAAAGAATTTAGAATTTGATGAAAATTGTATCACGTATATAAAACGCAAATATAAGTTTCATATCCAAATCTCAAGCCTCTACAAATATTTTGAATTGAATTACAGCAAATAACAAAATTAAAAATAATAAAAAGCATTATTTTTGTAAATTTTATCCCAGGGTTTTCCAGATATTATGAAAACCGCTTGGAAAATCAAAACATGACCTCCCTTAAGTACCATCTAGACAAAATTTCCTTTCAAAAATGGTGCCAAATTTGATTTCTGGTAGAAATTTGTCACTGTATAAAAAAAAAAAAATAATAACAATAAAAAAAGACATCATTGTAAAAGCAACACGATCTTTATTTATTTACTGTCATTAGATATATATATATATATATATATATTATAGGAGGGAAGATTGGATATATTATCCACCAATAACAATAATCTACTCATAAGCAGTAGCTTATTTTTTTTTTTCAAATAACTTTAAATTAATAATTTTTTATTTAAAGCAATATATTTTATGAAATTCCATATTCTAAGTCAGTGTTTCTCAACTTTTGCATTATGGCGGCACACTATTAAAATATTTATAATTAATTGATAATGTAAAATTAAAAATAATAAAGAAAAATACAACATAAAACAGCATTTTAATGAGAAATTTGCAACTGATATTTCTTACATAGTATATCAATACATGGTGAAATCTTTGACAAGGCGACTCTTAACTCCTCTCCGACATTAACTAATCCCTTTATTTCCCTTTTCTATTTTTAATTTCGTTCAATGCAAAAAAAATTACCATGCACAAATATGATGTAAAAATGGTAATAACACGATTTTGTAGATAAACAAAAAAAAAAAAAAAATCTAAAATTACTTAATACTTTGTAGTAGTACTGTCATAACTGAATAAATAAAAATAAAAAAAAACTTTTTAACGAATACGTAAATATGACTAGAATAATAACTCGACTAACATTTAATCGTCTTTAAACACACCAACATCGACAATGTTCGTAGATTATGGGACTCTTTAATGATAATAATATAATGTATTTATTTTATTACTAGCCCGGTTTACCCAGAAATTATTATATTTAATGTCATACAACGTAGAATCATACGAGTATATGAAACATATACTGTGAATTGAAATCCATATACTATTATATTTTTGAATATAAATTATATAATATTGTTTATACATATAATATATTACAATAGTTTTCAAACTGTATTTTCATTTATTAATTTTCTAAGTTTAATAATTAAACGATTATTTGTATACCTTATATAATTGTATAAACTTATCATACAAAATATACATATATATATAATTGTATAAACTTAATTTTTATTTTAAAAAGAAAACTTATCGTAACTCAACTTTTAAGCTTAAGCGACCCACTGGTTGAAGACCACTGCTATACAGTACACTGTTTAAAAAATAAATATCGATAAACCAACGTTTAGAATTACGATAATGATAAAATTAATTTAATGTCCATAGCTGATAATCTATTTTTATTCATCATAGAAATTATATCAAATACCTATTAATTTTTGTAAATAGTGTCAACAATGTTTTTACATTTTGTGTTATTTAATATTAGTACTTCATGCGACAAATTTGGACTTACCCGGCAACACACCAGTTGAGAAACACTGTTCTAAGTTTTACATATTAATAGATATATATAATACGTGTTAAAATTAAATAATAATATAATAAATGATTTTTATTAAGCACAATAAATGTTTAACATTTAATATTTTTCAAATTACCAAATGATCAGTTAGAATTTCAATTACCCCAATTATTTAAACTTTAGTTAAATTATAATAAACATCAAATTACCGTGCTTATAGTGAGTCCTCGTTTGGAAAATAAATTAACAACATCTTGCTGAGTATGATTAGCTTGAGATTTGTTCGCAGATGTAATAGATTTTGTTAAAGATTCCGATAAAGATTTAACGATTGTTGGAGAGTTCTTAGTAAATGAAGTTCTAATCAAAAATAATACAATAAATTGTATACTATAGTACTATAAATCACCATAATGAATACTCATTATAATCTCAATAACTAACCTGTCTGACCTGTCTGTAGCTACACGTTTTAATGGAGGCGTTTGATGCCTTACTCCCATCGATGATAGCGGTCTTTTTAAAGGAGTACCTCTCATCATGGGGGAACTCATAGCAACTGATCTTCCTCCTATATAAAAATAAATATGTATTAAAATAAAAGAAAAATTTTAAAAATACATTCATACTTGGTGCTCTAGTCATATTACGCCCTCTAGGGGCACCTCCCATCATGAGATTCATATTGGGCCTACCCATTGGCCGCATGGAACGTTGCATAGGAACTTGATTTGGCATCCTCAGTGGTTGTGTATACATATTCGGCACACCAGGCGGTTGAAGATTTTCAGGTAATGGTGGTACAACGGGCTGTAGTTGCTGGTCGAAGCCCATAGTTGGTAAACGCTGAACCTGATTATAACAAACCAACATATTGATTTAAACAACAAACATGTACAGATATAGGTAGTCTATCCTAAAAACCTTTATAAAAGCCATTACAAAATTTTCATCACCCAACCATTTAAAACTGTTAAAAAATTATATATGCTAGATTCAAAACTATTAGATTACCCAAACAATTTATTTTACATTTTATTGAATTTTAACTGCACTTATTCTAGTGTACAAGTGTAATATTTATGGAAAAACTGTTTTACATAGAACAACTTTATTCTTCCTGTATAATGTACTTACATTGATTATAGTAATTAATAATATGAACACTCCCTTCTTAATGAAGAAGTAATTGAAGAAAACCAATTGGTGATGGTTGTCTGCATAATATTTATATAATTTCACAATTTCACTCGAAATTATTATATTTCAATATATAAATACACAGTGTGTTTCACTAAAATGGGGTTTTCAAGAGGAGATAGTAAATACTGAAATACACATTTTACATGGATTTTCAAATTTCTTAACCTTTAAGTGTGCGCAAGAGCAATAAACCTTGCATTTTTTTAAACGAAAACAACTATTTCCAACATTTGATTTAGATTAACTTTAAATTTTTTCTTTGGGGACATTTAAAAAAAAAATCATACTGAAGCATGACCAATAACTGACAAACAAATTATGGCAACTACTCAAGATGAAGTCATAAAGCATAAGTTCAGAAGCATGTTTATCACAAAATGGGTGAAACTTTGAACAATTTATAAGATACGATGACTGATGAATACTTTTTGTAATAAATTGTTAAAATTAAATTAATTTAATAATAATAAAATAATTTTATTTCACCTTTATCTAGCTGTATTTCGACCAATTTTCAAGATAAGGGAAAAATGTATTTATATAAGTTGCTTAAAAACAAATGGTTTATCCAAATCAAGTGTTGGAAATTTGTGTTTCAATTCACAAAAATTGCAAGTTTTATTGCCCATGTGCACACTTGAAGATTAAGAAATTTGAACCATGTAAAATATGAATTTCAGCATTTACTATATCCTCTTGAAAACCCCATTTCAATCCGAGGTCACTGAACAGAAATATTCCGTGTTACCATTTGAGTGAAACACACTATATATAAAAAGTAATATTATTGGTTAGTACTACATAATATTACATAGTACCATATAATAAAGAGGTACCTACACTATATTTCAATACCATTGAATATATTATTTATTCAATTATAATATTTTAAATGTTATCACAAAAATAATTATCGGAGCAAGTTATGGAAATCTGCATTCTATTATGTCAATAATATTAAAATATTGTGTTGGTACTATGGTACTATATACTATGTAATACTAACCAATATTATTACTTTTTATATTTTATAATGTGTAAAATAAATAAATTGTTGAATGTTATATTTATACTTTTTTATACATGAAAACCGATTTTGTGTTATTTTAAGACTCACTTTGTGTAGGTCCCAAAGTGAGTCTTATAAGTGGTACCTACCTTATTACCATACTTATAATAATTACCAAAATTTCAAAACACATAAAGAAAAACTTTTTTTTGCCAAGTTTATTAATTAATAACAATTCCTAATAGGTTTTTTCAAGTAAATGAAAAACCAAAAACTGATGGTTCACAAATAACTTTTAATTGTATTTATGCTATGTCAGACTTTTCAAATCTTCTCAAATTATTGTTACCATTTTAATGACCACCTTAATAATATAACTTGTTCACTAATCCATTGTCCAATACGTCTTTAGAAAGAAAGAGTACTGCATTAAATGAGGGAAAACTCATTCTCGACTTAATATTTGTATGTCATTCATTTTTTAATTGATAAATAATAACATTACACAGCTAAAATTAACCTCTGATTTTTAAATTTAATTCAAAGTGATAATATCTATGAACAAATTAGTAAAAAAATTCTGAAGAAATTGAGTTTCTTCCAAGACATATAAAGTTTAAGATCAAAATAGTTCAATGTGGGAAATATTTTTCTTTTTGTCGAAATCAGATCATTTTATGAAGCACAATAGTAATTTTCATAAGGCATATTTTGAGCCAAAAAACAAAAAAAAAAAAAAAACAAATTGGTGCTAAAAAAAAAAATAATCCAAGACACCAAGTTGTTTTATGTCTTATGAAATTTTGTCAATTTTACTATAAATATGTTATGAGAAAAACAGATTTTAAGATCAAATTACATTCATGTAATATAACATCTTCTTGAGTCAAATTTTTAGATTATGTCAGAATTCAAGAATTTTAAAAATGTTTTTGTAAAATTAAACAAATTTTAGTAAATTAACTTAGGAATATTGTGTAATATATATCAAGTCTTACACGTTAATTAACATCACTATTTCTGATCATTTTAATCAACTATTCAAATTTAATTAGTTTAAATTTATTATTACTTGATGTGCCAATTGTTGAACAGGTGATGGCATAATGTTGTGAACCATACTTTGGTGATCTAAAAACTCTTGTTGACTCGATAAAATTAAATGTTCACAGTCTTTGAAAGAACATTTGTAATGTTTCATGACTTTTTTATGTTCATTTAATAGCTCTAAAGAATCAAACTGTAATGTACATAAATCACATGACATGTTCATATATTGTGGATATGGAGAACCATTTTGAGATATAAAATTTGAAGGACTATCTATTTGTGAGGGAGGAGGCATATTAATCAAGTTAATAGTTTGAGGTGCTGCTAAATCAACGAAAGAACGGACATTAAGTTTATACTCTTTCTGTTGCTCTTTGATTAGATCTTTTGATTCATCTTTTTTCAAAACAAGTACTTTATTTTCTAAGATAGAATCCTTCAAGTCTTCTTTATCTTCATTTTTAACTACCTTTTCTTCCTTTTTTATCACAGAATTTTGGGGAACTTCCTCAGATTTAAAATTTGTTACTGAACTTGTCTCTGGAATGTTCGAATCTTTTTTTATAAATGGCTTGCTTTCTTTCTTATCATTAATTGTTTTATTTAGGATAGGTCCCTCCACTATTTCAAGGTCAGAATCACAACTTTCATTAGCATTTTCAGACTCCGGTTCAGATTCCTTTTCATTTTCAGCTGCATCATCAGCAACATCATCTTCAGAATTTGGTTTGTCAGAATTTTTATCATTTTCAGAGTCCACCTTTTGATCTTCACCATCTTCTTCACTTGAAGCACAGGGACTTTCAGCTGGAGGTAGACTATTTTTCACAACCTAAATATAATTCACATATTACAAAAATAAATATTAAAGTGTTTAATTAAACAGAAATAGATATTTCAGAAACCAAGAAACGTGTTTTTTTCATTCATATAAAATTAGATAAGCATATAGAAATCAAAACTAATCACTAAGTTTCTTACTTCAAAAGGTTGTGCAGATTCCCTAGAACTGCTGCTATATGATTTATTCTTTTTTATTGTCACTTTGAGTGGTGGAGATCCAGGCAATCCCGACGGCACTGGTGCATTTGAAGAATGTGAAGAACGAGGTGAAGAATGTACAGAATCATGATCGTCTTTTTAACAATAAAATTTAAAATGTTATTCTAAATATTATCAAGAAAGTACAGAATTTAACAACTTATTATTGGGTACATAAATAAGAGATCAATTTAAAACACCTTAATGCATCAATTATAATCTGCTTCTTTAGTAAAGAGCATTATAACAAATAAAGTATTCACTACCTAAAATATTTTTAAAAGGACACCACACTTACATCTCTACTGTCTCAGTGCAACTACCAGGCAAAAAACAAACATAATGTTTATACAGCCTAAGTAAAACTAATTTTAATTTTAGAGTAAAATTACCTATTATGAAATTTATAGAGAACAATATTTCTGAAGGAAGCTCATAAGTGTTTTTTGAATTATGAACTATTGAACTAATAAAAAAAATTAGTTATTTAAAAAACTAAAAAATTAAAAGTGTTTATGCTTTTCATATGTAGCTGTATATTTATAATACGAAAACCCAATTAAGTTCTCTCCAAAATATTCTTTTCTATAAATTTCATGGTAGGTACTTTTACTCTAAATCAAAATTGAGCGAGTTTTACTTAGTCTAAGTAAGCATTATTTTTGATGTTGCTCGGTAGTTGGATTGAGATAGTAGATGCAGGTGTAGCATCTTCTTAATATTTTTAGATTTAAGTCAGCCACATTATTAAAAGATTATTCATGGACAGCTCCACGGGGAGCCCAAGGGGCCACCCCTTAAATCCATGTTTTGTTAAAAACAACTACATCTTAAAAAACACATTATACCATTGACTATTACAAACATGTATAAGTAATTATATGGTTCGAGACATCTATTATCTATACTATGAAGTATAAATAAAATATAAAGTACGCTTATTGATATACAATTTTCTAAAAACATTACTTAGCCCCTCCAACCAAGCCTCTGGAGCCACCCCTGAGATTTTTCTAATTCAGGAAAACACTTATAAGAAGAAACTTTATCTTCATTAAAATCTTAGATGTAATAATTATTTTAGATATTATTTATTCCATATTTATTACTATTATATCGCTTTTCATTTATATTTTTTCTTTTGTCTATAAATATATACCACATTTTTTTTTCAATTCATAAAAAGGACTAGTTATGTTAAAAAAGAATAATATTAATTTAAAAATAAAACAGTGTTTTAAAAATTGGAACATGTTGTTGAACATTATGTATTGTTTTCTTACTGGTATCAGGTACCTGTTAACATTAGCAATTATCCCTACTAACATACACCTGATCAAATCGTTTAAATCGTAACAACAATTTTACGTAATTTTGTAAATGCAATATTTTTTTTTTAAAATTTATAAGTGATCAAGTTTATTTTAAAAAATTATATTAAGATACTTTAGTTACTTAGCCGAATATACAAAGTTTCATTTATCTTAAACCTAAATAATAATTAAATCATTACGAATCTCACAACGATAAATTGTGTGCCTCTAAAACGCCTACTTACATAACTTTTTTTATTATTTTTAAAATTAAATAATATAACTAAACAAATATCTATTATAATTTGTATTATTTAATCAAAATCAATCACAAGGTAATAATATTAATTCAAAATATTTCTGATAGGTACTTGACAATATTATTAGTGAATTCTTCAAAAAACAAGCAGTTATTAGACATTAAAAATTGCCTACCAATATTAAATGAAAATAAAAAGTTGATGAAAAAGTTATCATTAAGCTTTTCTTTGAAAACAATACTTTTAGTAACTCAGAATTAAAAGTGACTTATGTTACATAAGCGACTCACTAGCAGCGCTACAATTATTGATTAGCACTACCTATATTATTACTTTCTACATTAACTAATGAAACTTGCACACTTTCTTCTTGCTCAAATAAATTATTTGTATCGTTTTTTTGTACTTTGCTCACCCAATGTCCAATCTGGATCTAGAAATTCGTTGTCCTCTTCGATTTCAGAAAGGTCATAGTCGAAAAGGTAATTAAACACATTCTTTTTATTCATATTTACTATATACTAATACGGCATGACATCGAAAAAATTATAATTGTATCACTATCGTTATATAACATCGAAATGTTAAATGATTATAGAACCTTAATAAAAATATACATAATAGTATTAAGTAGGTAAACGAATAGTAACTACGGCCGTCATTCGTCCGGAATTACGCGGGAAAATACCGGTTTCAGGCAAATCTACATGGGAGTTGGGACTATAAATCAGTTTCCTAAAATAGAGAAGTTCCGTATCAACATAAATAATTTCAGTTTATAAATACCGATAACATTAATATTTATATATTCTATTGCAGACTACTCATTTTCAAAATAACTGTAGGCCATCCGGTATTTTATTATAATTACCGGTATCCGAGACATCATCTATTTGGTATTACCGGTATACCGTATTAGGGTGATATGGCACTTTCGGTAATTGCCATTATACGGTATTTTAAAATATTTTATGTTATAGAGTTAATGATTTATTTTATTATAGATTTATCTATGATTTTATGTTAGCTTTTTGTACATAGTTACAAACTTGCATTGATAAAATGAATTGAAAAAATATAGTTTTATCATGCGACCCCACAGATACATAAAATAAAGTTATATTACACATGAACGTGCGGCGACCCAGTGAGAATATTTAAGGTTATAATGGTTATTAACAATGAGATTTATCATTATGGGACATTAACACATTGCATAATAATGAAACAATTAACGTTGTAAACTTTCCAGTTCATTCGGTTTTTCTCAATTATTATGAAAATAGTTTTTTGAAAAAAAAAAAAAAAACAATTTTCTTCTTCACAAACTAGATACAGACAGCGATTGGGTCGAGATTTCTGGCGGAAAAATTGTTCACAGACAAAAAACATATCACTAAAACCAATACATTCCTTGCTTCACGCAGAATCTAAAATTATAGAGACTAAGATTATAATGTAACCTACGTTATAATAATTAAATATAAATACGTGTAAAATGAGTACCGAAAATATTGTACTACCTGTTTTTTCGGTAATTACCACACACGGTATTTTGGGAAATTAATATACAGCGTAGTTACCGATAAAATCGATATTAACAAAATAGATTATACCAATATAAAATACCGCTAACCCTATCAGTACTAATGTTTTTTTTTCTATTCATCAGCCAAAAGACATTATTTTTACATTGTCCAAATAAATAAATCAATAGTTCGATAAACCCATCAATAATTATAATCATTATTATTATTATCATTATTTTACCAATGGCGAATTTGGTTGGCTCGGAGAGGTGAGGTCCCGAATTCTGAGCCCCATAAAGGGCTATAACAACTATATTATTTGACACATTCAAACAATGAACACTTTATGTTTACAATTTTTTAATTTTTTTTTCTATATTTATTCATGAATAATGGTTTTTTTTAAAAATGTAACAAATAAAATAAACAATAACGTGGATTCTGGTATCTATCAGTCTTTTAAAAGGATCAAAAATTATAAATCATGACAAAAACAAACATTTACTCTAAAATAATCCATTAAACTTATCTTACCAACCATATTATTGAAGTAAAACCATATATATTTTAATATTATATTCTGTATAAAACTGCTACATTACCATATTTGCTACATATTTACATTATGTTTATAATATCTCATTGATTATCATCAAAATACAACAATTTTCACTATAATCAATTTATTTATTATTTTTTAATTTTAATGTAAAAAAAAGAAACTAAAAGTATGTGTACAATTTATTCGCATTATAATATATATATATATATATATGCTCGGTTCTTACAATGTCTTGTAAAATCTTAGTTAGTGCTAACCATGAGGTTAATCAACAGAATTTTCTCAGTTTACGGACAATTTAACAGCTGATTAACACGAACTGGCAATTGTAAGAACAGACCTAAATATCTAATAGTTTTATAATTACAATTATTAATGACAATTTTAAATTATAATACTCAAATAATTTAACATTGAAAATGAAAAAATTATTATTTCCTATATTTTTATTGTTTGATTCAGAATGCAGTGTTAATGAGTGTTAAGGGTTAAATTATAACAAATTTATCTTACAGCACTAAAAACATTTTTTGGAATGTTAGTAACTCCTCCCTGTGTGCATTATTAACTACATACAGTATGACCAATATAGCTGTGACTTATAACTACAAATTCATTGGAAACCTTGTTGAAAACTATATACTTATATTAGGACCATCCAAAGAAAATGAATAAAGGTTAAATCGGCAATGTTGATGTAACTAAATACTAGGTGCCATTAAAATAATAATTAAAAAATTTAAATACAAATGTTTAATGTATGACACATAAAGGTGTAAGGATGAATTGATTTTTAGCAAAGAAAATAAATAGTTTTCATAAAAATAATATGAGTATAAAAAATTAAATCAAATTAGCAAACTTGATTCAATAGGTAAAATAAGAAACGCAGTTTTTAAAATAAAAATTAAAGTACACCAATATGATTTATAAATGCAAAAATTTGTTTGAATATTTGTTACCCCTTCACGTCAAAACTACTGAAAAGATTAAACCCAAAATTTGTATAAATGTAGTTCTAGACTAGAAATACTACGAAAAGAAATTTCAGAAAAAATACCAGAACTACTGTTTTCACCCTTTAAATCAATTCTCATGGGATGAGAATGAGGTGTTAGTTTATATAGAAAAAATACATATTGGGGGGGAGTGTCTTAACACTAAAAAATTGCAAATCCAATGGTTTAGATTTACAAATTTGTATTATATCATTTGCATTCCATAATCCTGCATACAGAAATCAAGATAATACAAATTATAAATAACCAAAACCTACATATAATCTCTCTTTCAAAAGACAACTGCTGATATTTATAATATAACTATTTTATAGCATAACATTTAATTAAGACAATATATCCAACTATTTATTTTTAGATTCTAAGAGCAGCGAAAAAATGTATTGATTACACACAGCTTCCAATAATAAAGTTAGTAGGTTCTACACTTAATAGTGGTGAAAACTTAAGTATAAAGGAAAAACGTCTTCAATTTAATATTAATATAATAAAATTGAGTAACTATTTAAAAAAAAAATGTTCAGTAACTTAGAACATTTACCTGATAGAAAAGAGGTCTTTTCATCGATTTCTATAAGGTTACTTCAAAATAATAATTAAAAACTAATATTAAAAATTTTAAATATTAAACACACAGAAAAAAAATACTATTTTCTATCTAAAATATTTGAAAAATAAATACAGAATATAACAGAACTATATTAAACAAATGTAATAACTTTTGGATATTTTAAAGTTTTTTTTAAAAAATTATTATTACACCTTGGAGCTATAATTTAAATTGTATAATTAAATTAAATTTTGATGTTTAGAAATGAGAAATAAAAAAATATAACATCTGGTTAAGTCAAGTCAATTATTTTTTTTAAGTTTTGTAAAGTGTAACTTTATTACGTGAAGAAATTTCCAAATGGTCAATTTGAATTTCTTTGAAATATTGTACAATTTTATAATATTATCATCATATCAATTTTGAGCTATAAGTCTTTTAAACGCTTAGCATTTATTGTTAGTAAAATTAGCAAGAAATACATTTGGAACAAACCTAGTCTAAGCTCGTTTTTAATTTTTTTTTTTTTTTAAATGTGTGTTATTGCATGTATCTATATTAAGCATGTACAAAAAAATGTCAAATGAACTTCATTTGGAAGTTATGAGGGAAAACCTCATAAAAAGTTCAGGTTTTTTCGCTTATTTATTATTTAGAATTTAACATTTTTTTTTTTTTTTTTCAAAATGTGTTTTTAAATGCTTAATCTATTGGTAGAATCAAAACTTAAATATTATAGGTACTTTTATAATTTTTATACATAAACTTTAAAAAATAGCATTTTTGGAATTAATTTAAAATGTGGTCAAAAATGGATATTTTTGTTTATTATTTGTAATTATTGATAATAGTTTTTTTTTTTATTAAAATCAGAATAAGTCTATCTTACTTAGTTGTAGAGTTATAACGTTAAAACGCGCACGAAAATAACCCTCGATTTGTTTTGCAAAAGCACGTAGGGTAGGTAACAGGGTAGAATTTTGATTATATCAATGGATTAAACATTTAAAAATACATATTTTGGGGAAAAAAAATTTTAAATTCTAACGATGAAATATGCGAAACAGAAAAATCAAAAACTTTATTAAATTTTCTTTTATAACTTCCAAACAATGTTCGTCCAACTTTTTTTTAATATTCTTAATGAATGTGCAAACATTTTACAAAAACAAGCTCTGGCTTTAAACTAGATTAATATTTTGAAATTTAACAAACATTTTTTTAATGACAAACCTAATTGATAGTTTTAAACACTAACAATATTTTTCAAAATTAATTTACAAAATAGCTATCTTGGATTATAAACAAATTTTTAAGGACTTTACAACTTTTTATTACTTAGTAATAAAATATACAAATTATAGTGCAAAACCTTCTTAATTATAAAAAAAAAAAAACTTAAAAATATTCAAAAGAAAAAAAGTTATTACATTTGTTGAATAGTACTGTTACATTCTGTATAGTATAAAATTATATCAAAAAAATCATAAATTATAATATATTAGAATAAAATAAACCATAAATATTGGTTTATAATTTTATTTACAACAATATAAAACTTATCTTGTACTTACTTAGTAATATAATATACTAGAAAAACATATAAAACAATATATAAATTTACAGCTCAGTTATAACATTCAGACTCATAATACTCAACTTATAAGTTTAATTAGTAAACCTGCATTAAATTATTTAGATAAAGGAAAAAAATTGCTCAAATAACATTAAATCATTATAAGAATGTGTCGCACCCTCATATGCTGTCTCAGTCATACAACCGTGAGATATAACAAATTTTTATTCAGTGAGGACAGCTGTGTGTTTTTTTGACATTAAAATGAATTGACCTATTGACAAACTTAAGATATTAATATTATCTATGTATTCTCATAGGTTTATAATTTTTAAGCGAGTTATAAGCATTTTTCAATTGTGACATTTCACTTAAAAATGAAAACAAAGAATGATAAGACAACACAGTTAACGTTAATATCTTCAAATTTGATAATAGGAGTGATATTCACTCTAATATCAAAACTTGAACCATAAAATTGTATCAGCTTAACGAAAATTTGCTATTATGTAACTTTATAACAGAGATAGCACATGCGGGGTATGACGTCCTCTCAATAAAAGATTTATTTATCACAATATCTATCTATCTATTTTCTTTTTCTTTATCATTTTATTGTTAGAAATTAAGAAAATGCATTTTTAACCCACATTATTTTCTTGGCTAAATTTATTTAAAATACCTATATACTTAAAACAAATCACAAAAATGGTTTTTTTAGATTACAATATACCTAGATGATTGATTTTGACTAGATTATAAGTATTATAAAAAAAGTTAATTCTATACATTTTTCACAATACCATCAAAGATTACTGATACTCAATTCTAAAACTTAATACATACAATATCTTTTCTTGCAAAAACAAATTTAAAAAGTTTTTTTCAAGAATATAAAACCGGTTCTATTATATTTTATATACAATTTAATTGCTTACAATAAAAAATTAATGCAATATGTTCAAATTTTATATTTTTTATACAAAAACCTTAGTTAATGTGCTAGGTTTAATTTAATGTCCAATTCATTATAACACTGGGTTAGGTTGTATAAGTTGTTTTGAAAAACTTATTTTTAAAAATTGTAATTATAGACAAAAGATAAAAAGCTCAAATAATATCACTCAAATTTAAAACAATGTTATTATTGATAATCAGTTCAAAATTGGTTTTTATATTACTGATTTCAACACTTGTTTCCATGGGTACATATACCTATTATATTTTTTGTTAATCGATATATAGATTTTCAAAAACAAAAATTAGGTCCATTTCACAACCACACATACCATATACTGTATTTAATTGTTTAAGTACCACTTTTCAATTACATTTTACATATTATAACAATTTTTTTGAATTATAATTTAAAATTCTAAGTAAAAAAAAAATGTATTTTTCTGTCTGTAAAAAAATTTTGAACTACATTTTGATGCAATCATCAACTTCAAGGTTGATTTTTGGTAGCAAATATTTTCTAGTTGGTAAATAATTGGAAAAATCCCATGAAACTGTAAAAAGCAATTTTACTAAATCATCTTATATCCTACCTTCCTAATCTCATCCCCCCCCACAACAGTTACCTACCTTAAAATATATTAAAATTATAGTAGATTAATAATTTTTAATTGAATTTTATGAATATTGAATGATATATACTAAGTTATTAAAAACTATGAAGGTAATCTAATTAAATATTTAATATTGATATTCGTTGTAGTTAAGTTTTTGCTAATTCTGATTTGTTTTTGATTCGGTTAAAAAATCATAAAATGTTCACCAAATATTTATATTATTATCTTCTAGACAAAGTACTAATTTACAAATATTGTTTCATTGTTCTTGAGTTATGTATAGCCATTTGAAATTGATATAAATTATTTGACTTTGTATAAATGCTTGGAAAATATATACAAAGTTTTTCATACATTGTTATTACGGTATCTAGTATAAAATCGTTGAAAATTTGTAAATGCTCATAATTATTTTCTAAAAAGTTCAGATTATACTTACTTAATTTTTTGATTTATGTGAAATAAATTGTTTAACATGGTAAAAATGTCAAAACTTTAATATAAGGTCAGTCGAACTGAAATTGGTAATAAAAAAAAAAAATGTTGACTAATATAATAATGTTAATATATTTTATTTTCTTTAAATATTTTAAAATAAACATTCAATTACTGAAATAAAAGCCCAAAGAATGTATAGAAACTAAAATTTAAATGGTATTAGGTTATAAAACTGACAAAATACTTAGTTTATGAGAACATTTTGAAAAAAAAAAATCAAAGATCTTTCCTCACTCAGTACAATAATGTTAGCAATATTTGGACCAAGATAAAACAATTTTGTTTGGACATTTAATAGGTCTTGTAAACCACAAAAATATTATTAATTTTGTTATATAATTGCACAATGACTAGGATTGTACATAGTACAATTTAACTATCATAACTCAAAATAACTCAAATTTTTATCCAATACACACTAATGTGAAAACACAGTTTCATCATATTATTTGTATATCACATACCATAGATGCGGTTGTTAAATGGACCTATAATAACTAATCTAACTAATGTTAATATTAATTTTTTTTTTTTAATGAAAGAATATAAAAACTGTTCAAATTGTTCAAAATTTGAGTAAAAATAAAATAATTACCTTCACTATCAGTATTAGAATTATTTCCATTTTTATTGGTAGAATTCATTCTTGATTTTTCAGTTCCTGTTGTATAAAAATAATAAAAGTATTAAATTAGTTTTTAAAGAATTGAATTTATTAATACTTTTAATATACTAAGATACTTATACTAATATTATTACTACTACTAGGTAGGTATTTAGATTAATTGCTTAACATTTTTTTTTTATATATATAATTTTTCGAGTCTTCTTATTTGTTGAACTGGGGCCACAGACTACTTTAGCTCAATAGCAGGTAGTACTGTACTAGTACTCAAAACTAACAGGTTATTAAAAAACAGTAGAATTCATCAAATAGTCAGTTTTGATAAACTGCCACAACAATTCAACAAAATACTGAACAGGGTTAAAACGAGTGCAATTTTCAACAACAAAAGCAAAACTTGATATAAAATCACCAGTAGTGCTAAAGAAATCCATGGCTCCAGTTCGACAAATTAGGCAGTCCCATCATTTACATATATTATACTGCACTTAGTTTAATTGAAACTTTCTTCTCTAAAGTACATTAACAAATAAAACAAAATTAATAACAAACGACCTCTCTTAATTGTGAAAATGTATACAAATTATAAAGGTAGGAATACTTACAGGAATTTCGTAATATGTTTAAATTAATAATGAAGTACTGGAATTGAATTTGATTATTAATTACACAAATAAGTAGGGAGAAGGTACATAGATCTTATTGAACACTAGTGTCCTTAATAATTTAATGACACAGTTAACTATGTATACAATATACATAGATCAAATTTGTTTTGAAAAAACATTAATATGAATTTCAATTTGGTAACTAAAGTGAATAGTAAAACTTATAAAAGATATTAAGATTATAATATATTAGTAGGTACCTATACTTACATATCTATAATATTTCTGTAAGATTTCTAAATATACGAGTGTAACTTTAAACCTAAATTAGTTTTGTAAAATTATGTAAATACAACACAAACCTGTACGATTCACTTCATTTTTATCCTTATTCTTCTCGGGATCCATTTGAGAACTCTGGCGTGTAACTACCATTTACTTTAGAATATGGTCCTAAAATAATAAAATTGTTTTAGACGCTTATTATATAGGTAATCCTATATAATAACCTAGGGGTTTAAATTCATTAACGAGTAAAACAATAAATATTATATTTGTGTATAAAAACACAATATACTGGAGAAATACCAAACATTAAGAGTTACATACCCGCTACATATGACTCAAATTCGACAATGGATAAAAATGTGTATCAAATCCATAAAAACATTGATAGGAATTTTAAATATTTTACATGGTGCTTTTTATTAGGCATCACATAATGTGATGAGAAATAAGAATATTTCGTCATTTGTGTTTCGAAAACGCCGAGAACATTGTATCCGTCAACAGATAAAAACCGAACACTACACAGGAGAGTTAACGTAAGCTACTGATGTCATTTCAAGTTGAGAGGATTAGTGGTAATGGCTGTCTCGGGCAAATTTAAGACTGACCGTATTGTCAATTGGCTAAATTATAAGTAGTGTACAAGAATAGTATTGGTAGTGGTAAATATTGTGAGTGGGTTCAATTAACAGTGACAACGGAAACGAGGGTTGTGATTCGGAAAACCGCGACCGTGTAACACATGACACGGTGTATTTTGCATTATGATCTATGACAAAAACGTTTTAAATGCCATAGTGGCGTCCGATCGAGATAATTCAATTTTGTTTACCTTTACAGGACACGACACGGAATAAAAAATGTACAGTAGGTAACCGTTTTAAATTGTACAACGCAGACTACCACAAATAACGAAAATTTAAACAATACTAAATTAATATTATTAAATGATTAAAACTACTAGACGGGTGAAAAATGAAAAATGAGTAGAGTATTAATGACAAAAAGAAAAGTGAAACTTCGCCGAATGAAGACTAAAAACCGACCGACAACAAACGCGTAATATTATAATAATCAAATCGCACAAACGAGCGTCGAGCGCGGCTAAACAAAATATTTATTCGGAATTTATAACATAACCTATGTATTAATCATAATAATATTGAGTACGGTAACAGTCTTCAATAGATACCGATTCATAATTATCAATGATGACAACGGCCGCTTACCGTTATACGATACGATTATCGTATTGTGTTATCCTCCAGTGTTCGGTATACGCACGCGCAATCAATTGGTCCGTCTGGGGTCCAACAGGCAACGACGTTCGTTCTGGTCCGGTAATGTTCGTTGGAATCGTTTGTTTGACGTTTGTACGGCGAATGCGCAGGCGCGGGTGAAGACCGTAGCTCGCGCCAAAAAAAAACGATTAAATAAGTTTTTTTTTAATGCTATATCGATTCGCGATGTTACTATAAATAATACCAATGGGAAAATGTACCGTCCGCGATCGAGCTCAAAAAACACAACTGTATACAGTACACGGTGGACAGCACAATGTAAATTTTAAATATTGGTACTATAATATTAATGTGGACGTGTGGCGACACAACAGTACTGTACGGTGCGGCGAGTCGCAGAACACAAAAATGTTGTCGTGCTGAACGTCGCGGTGATGATGGCAGATTGGCAGCCGCCAGCGGTCGGTGCGACGTACCGAGGCAGGCGAACATGAACCGTAGCGGCGGGGCGGATCGAGCGCTGCCTAGTGCCTGTAACAGCCGCCGCCTAAGCGCAAACACCCGCCGACCCATCGTACGATGGTCCTTCCCACCCGCTACCGCCGCGGGCCGCGCTTGTATTCTTGTCAATATGCATGGTACGACCGACGACGGGGTCCCGTGCCGTTTGTGAGGCGGACAACGACGGTGCGCGGGCGCATAGTTGAGCGGGCGCGTGTGCGTGCGCGTCGTGCGACAGCAATGACAAAATCACCAACGGGGTGGGGAATGACGACCAACGCTCAGCGAGAGCGAAACGAACGATCGTTCTCTCCGTCACAGTTTTTCATTAACACAACCGACACGACATCTATAGCAAAGTTTCTCAATTTCTCATACTATAGGAACACGGAACGGGCATAATTATATGGCGCGCGCGTTATTATTATAGGTCGACGTTCGCTTGTTCCGTTACCTATTTATTTTTATTTTTTCGGTATGCGTTTGTTCCGTCTTTGTTGTTCACTCGAACCCTATCTCGCTATTTCCACACTCGAATACTCTATACCTCTCGCTTCTCTCACTCACTACCTCCGTCTCTCTTACTCATTCTCTCCGTCTCTCAGACAGTCTGCCCGTGTAGGACATTAGGACGACGCTATCGATCGGTGCGCGCTACCGGCAGCCGACTCCCCGCCACCGCGTTGTTCCATTAGGGACGCCAACGCTCGGCATCACCATCGCGTTCGTTCGCACGTACACCGCCCTCCCCCTTACTGTACCAATTACCATGTGAAAACAACGCAAGCGCGCGATGGTGACCGATGGTCCGCCGCGCTCGTACACTCATATAGCCAACCATGCGGCGTACACTCAACGCCGCCGCCGCCGTACACTAGTATCGCTTCACGCTAAGAATATTTTATTTTCAACAATATCGAACGGCGGCGTCGACGCGCACCGGTCGCGCCGTACAGAAATACGACTGTAAGCTGCCAAAAATAACTCGTCCGCCCGACGGAAATATTTATCCATTATTACCGAAGATCATGAACTCATAAAATAATTCCGTATTCGTTGTTGCTTATTATAATAATATGCAATAATAATTAAAAACATCGTGTTATAACATAATAGAGCATAAAATTATAAAATAAACATTTGATTGATTAATCGAATGGTGCAACGTATTATTAGATACAATTACTAATATTTATATAATATTGCGAGCTTCGTTTTAATACCCAAATACATGAATATACAGACGGATGGTTTAAAATATCATTATAATTATTTATTTTTAGATTTACGAATCTAGTAGGTGTTCATTAGATTTTATTATATTTTAGCGATTTAATGTGTTTCTAATGGATTTACGATTTTTCGGTTTGTAGTAATATCGAAAAACTAGATAATAGACTACTTGACTACCTAGACTATTACAATTGGTTTTTCTTTTTTTTTTTTTTCCCGTTCGAATTTTCAACATATCGAGAATGTATTATAGGTTTGATCATAATGTGTGAGTTATTTTTGATTCGGAGCGGAGCTTGGGGTCTATTGGTTTTACTATTTTTTTTTTCTGTGTGTGAGTTTCTAAAAATATTTTCTACCACAAAACATGTTCCAACCGAAAAACGATAAGAGAACTTTTTTGTTGCAGTTTTAATCTAATTGATAAGTAAAGAAGTTGTTTTTTTTTATTTTCTCTGTAGTTTTATTAATAATTAGGAAAAACCATTAAATACGTAATAATTCTATTATTATTTTCAATTTTTGTTTTTTCGTAATGTAATTCAGTTTAAAATATTCGAAGAGACTTTAAACTAACATTTACTTTTTCTAGGCGTGATAAAACTTTCAGAACATTTGATAAATTTTTGAGTTATTTATAGATACTTTAATTTTACGAGTGTTTTACGTAATTTTTATTTGGTAGGTACTCTTTAGATAAATTGTTAATTTAAATGCTTGAACATTTGATAAGAAGTTCATGAAAGTTGGTACTTGGTGGTCAAAACTAAAACACTTAGTTTAATGTAGTTTTAGTTTCTGAGAGAGCGAAAAAGCCTATGGTTTTACAAAGATGTTTAATTAATTTTTTTTTTTCTGTAAACAACTTGTCTACTAGAAGACTTGCTCCAATTTGTACGTGTAGCGCCCATTCTGAAAGGAAACCGGTGTGGGGAGGTACTTTAGAGAGGTCGTTTTTAGATTTTCTCCGGAGTTTTCTCAGCAAAATTTAAAAGACATGGGAAAACCGGGAAAAACGTAGGAAATCGGTACAACAATAAACAAATATTATTAAAGAAAATATATAGAGCCTATCTAATTATTTTACTATAATATGGCATATACCATATATCGTTGACAAAGCTTCACTATCAATTGAACTCCACTCACAATCGTTTTTTCGTTGGTAATAATTTATCGTTGCTTACAGATATACGTCAAATTCCCGTATGTATCTTACCTTACCAACTTCCCACCTACACCAGTGGCCGCGCCCGTCCCCGGTATCAGACAACAGCTCGTAAATATACGACACTCGCAGAGCCTAAAATACCGTGTCCCCTGAATTACAAATGTATGTCCGAAATTTTAAAACGCATTTTTGGTTTTAATTGTGGTAATAAGAAACATATTGGACTTTGAACACAAATGTGTTATAATTTTTTTAATTCAAATAAATTAATAACAATTTCCTCGTGATTTATTTTATACGATTTTCATAAACTTTAACCACGATCACGGTTATAGATATATTATATCCACGAACTTGTAGTTGTGTTTAGGTATTGTGTGTGGCGTAAATGCAGTTTAGCCCCCAAGCGATCTTTTGGAATTTTTTTTTTCTCCAAAATGGGTGTTTTTGCATGATTAATTTGATGGTACTTTCCAAAAAAAAAAATCGCTCAAACTTCATTTGGAGGTAATGGTCAACAAACTTCAAAATGCTGTAAATCGAAATTGATTTTTCGGACTTTTTTTTTCATTCGGTGTATAACGACATAAAGAAGTTTTTGGTGAAATCGCGTAGAATAAAATAAACGTTAATGTTAAACGGATTGCGTAATAATAAAATAAAATATAATCACCGATAAACGAAATCACGAATGAACCGTTAAACTAAAACGAGAAACTATTATGCATTGTTGCATAATCGTAACGAAAAAAATAAACAATCATTAACTAAGAGGGTAGGTACTTATTTCCTGAACAACGTGCCACGTACCGTTATATTTCGTATAGGTACGGTGTGCTATAAATACACACATACCTACCTTTTTTTTACGAGAATATTATTTACACATCAATTATCAATAATGTACACACTACGCAGGGCCTGATTTAAAAGAGGGGGGGCAAAGGGGCCCTCACAAGATTCAATTAGTAAGAGACCTCCACAAAATAAATACCCTGAGCAATAAGGTTCGTCGGTTTTTTTTTTTTCTAATTTCCCTAGTTTATTGTATTTTTCCGTAAGTTTCACAATGCGACTTAAACGAATCATCGGATTGACAGATTGGTAATTTTCTACCGTTCCCGTTTGATTAAATTTATAATTACTCAACAATAGAGTCCGGTGACGCGTCGTAAATCATAATAGTTTTTTTTTTATTTCAGAACTAGCGTTATTCCGTGTGCGGTATATTAATAATTACACCAAGTTCCAAACATGGTTTTTATTTACGGCTGAAATATCGTCCAGTGTCTAAAAATAATATGTTTCGTTTGTCACTGTCCGTATTTTTTTTTTTCTTTAATCTATATTAACGATTTATATCAACCAGATAGTGTTACTGGCTAATCGCTAATGCAATGATACATTTATATTCCCTAAAACTTGTGTCAAACCGTACGAGTTACATCGCAGAGCGGCGAGCGCTGGCGCACATTATAATTCGTCTCAAGCTTATCGACGGCTTTATTATTTTAATTTTATATTTAGTCGTTCCATTAATAAATTCACGCCGTGGTCCGTGGCGTTTTTAGTTATTCCGAGTCTTGTGATGTAGGTACCTACTAGCAAAATGTATTTTAAGCATGATTAAATAATAAACCCACGTGGTTTATCCACGGTACCGCCACTGAATTCAATTATAAAGCCGCGAGCCGAACCCACCGCGAACCGATAGCGACCAATATTATTTGGACGGCGTGTCCATAATAATAATAATAATAATAATACCCATAATTCTAAAATCACACATTTTTTAAAAAAAACTTTTATTTTAGGGTTACTAGGTCCAAACAATGTATTTAATATCATTGAAGAATTTTCTGATATTACTTTTCCTGGTATCAGAAAAATTATTTTTATATTATTTACTATTTCAGATAGTGTAACAATAATGCAGCTACTCACTCATTCGCAAGTAGCATTTTCACTTGTTAATTTTTAAAATTGTTTGAACACATTTTTACACTTTTATTTAAGTTTTTTACTGAACTATATATTGTTTGGATCGTCTAAACGCTGTTTATTGTTGAACAATTAATGATGGTAATTTTCGGATTTTCTTACAAGAACATTATTATGTGTAATAAATTTAATATAATGTTAAGGTAAGTTAGTAGGTAATAGCATTGATTAAATATATTTAATTAATAGTAATAGGTTTATTATATCACAGTAGACTGGTCACTTATTTGTGTACATCAGACTTAAAATTTTTTCGGTAGGTATCATTAAATTAGACGAGTACCCAAGTTTGAAGTACAAAAAGAATATCTGAATAATAGATGTCAAAAAATGCCTTTTTCAAAGCATAATAAATGTTGTTGTTCTAAAGTAGTGGTTCCCAACCTTTTTTATTCTACGCCCCCTTTGTAGATTTTCGAAATTTCCGTGCCCCCCTTCTATAACATGAAAAATATATCACTTTTTGTGTACTTTACAAAGAAATTATAAAATATCCAAGATGAATTCAATTTTATTGATGATAATAATTAAAATAGTAAAATAGTACATAATATAATATAATGAAATTGGAAATTTATTAATGTGAAGGCTGGCAACACTTTTCTGTAGAC